GCCAATTTTGCCCTTTATTTCCCTCTCATTTCAACGGTTAAAGGTATTACTATTTACATGTTCATTTGTAGGAATAATAAGCCATTGTTAAATGTTTATGTGAAAATTGTCACAAAGTAATCTTCTCTGACAAATATCAAATGTCCTCTCTATCATATTCATGATTCTTGAATGAACTGCATATCTTCGTGCAGAGCCTCAAATAGGGTTGCTTACATTAGAAATGAGATATGAGGGCGCACACAGAATATTTCCAAGCTAATATTCTATGTTCTGCAGTCAATGTTTGCCAAAAATCTGCTATTTTACAGAGGTCATGGACAAGCACCACATATAATTATGTGTCTTTATAATGCCAGTTTCCCCTGTTACACCAGTATAATTAGTAATACCCTGACATTTTTTACTGATTGTTTGCATGGCTCTGCTGTCAGAAAGCAGACCTATAGTTAGGAAGTGCTTGCATCTTACAGTAACATTTTCTTGATAAATATATTGACAAAGTCCTGGGATCGTTCAAGATTATCTGCTAATTTCAATTGTAGTCCACTTGTAGCCATTCACCTCAAAGCAATAGGAATGGAACACCTAAAAGTATTGAACCCCTCAATCCCTTGCCCGTTAGGAGGCTTAGGAGACGGAGACTGAGACCCAATGCAGGGATCTCCCCTGTTTAAGGCCTCAGCCCTCGACTCAACTAATTTAGCATGGTCTCCCCTGATTTAATTGTCTAGCCCTTACACCTTACAGGGCACTGGGGGTGGACTGTTTATGTCCCTTTACATAATCAAGGCTTCCCATGGCCAGTAATGAAGATGTAATACCCCTATTAGGGGCAATGAGGCTTGCCCCTTCATCAAATAGCCCCACCGGCTCCCCGACACCAGGTTCTCCTTTGACCACGACTCCGAACACTGAAACTACTACCCACTCCTCAATGCCTACTAGTGCATTACCCACCCGAGCAGAGACTCAATCTCCAGAAGACATTCTTACCCTTAAATTCATCAACTCTACCCTTACAACCTTCATCAAACACCCCGACCTCCCTTATTACTACCTTACAGCCTTATTCTCCATCTCTCCGTAATACTACCCCCCTCAACAACACTTCAGCTTCCACACGCCCACGTCGTTCTACCACCACCAACCCTACAAATATGTTAACAACTCTATTTAGCCCAGCTAAATGGGACCGATTTTTCGTGATCCCTTCTACAGCTCCTTACTCAGGCAACACTCTTCTCTTTCAACAATGTCTCCAAAAACATGTAGGCAGAGTCCCTTTCCGTAGTTGAAGCTATAGCATTATCAAAACTAACTGATCTCTCTGGCAACCCTAACCCTGCAGAACCTCATCCAATTCTTAATACTTGTACCGGAACTGTCTCTATCTCCCCAGCAAACTGCCCAGTCGATACCAAAGATTGGTCAGATTGTGAAGAAGACTTGCTCGACTGCCTCAAAGACCAGGACGTGATATCAGTACATTGCTACTCCATTCCTCCTAGAGGTCATCGAAAGAAACCCACCAACATTGCCAAAATTACTTTCAGTACACATGACCTACCCGTTTGTATCTACATTGGTGGACAATCCCTCTCTGTTCGACCATACCAACCTCCTCCCCATCAATGTCAAAATTGTTGGCGCTTTGGACATCCTGCTAAACACTGCTGCTCCACAGACCGATGACCCCTCTCTGCCCAACCTGGTCATAACAGATCAAACTGCCCTGCACAAACACGCACATGTGCTAACTGCGGCGGCCCCCATAATGTATTTTATAGAGGCTGTCCCACTTACAAGTTCGTCTGAGGTAGCAGCTCTCAGATACAAAAATGGTCTCACTCTACGTGAAGCCAGACAGGAAGCACGCCGACAAGGTTTCTCTTATACTCCCTACTCCAGTAATTTCGCTCGCTCTAACCCTCCCCTTCCACCTCAAGATTCCACTTCTACATTCAACCTCCCCCGGTCAAATTCTTTTGCCACTCTAAATCCAGACACCGCAATCTCAACTACAGCCCCAACACCATCCCCTCTCCCTCCCCGCACTACCTGCAGGAGACAGACTAAACGTTCCACCCCTTCTTCCCCTACAGCACACTCACCTCCACCTACCTTTACCTTTACTCCTCAGACACCAGTCTCCTCTCCCCCCCCCCCCCTCATAAGAAAACCTTTGTTCCACAAAACTCTCCAACCAACTCCACTGTAGAAACTATGGAAGACATCCAAAGCCATATGCTTGAGACACAAAATTCCATAACTCATGCTCCCCCCCACACTTGAAGTGATTGCCGATATCCATACCCCTCCTATTCATATTCCCCCTGCACCCCTTCCTCATACTCCCTCTCAACACAACCTAACCCCCTCAATTCCGTCCACCACCGATATCCATTCTCCTGAAATCCATCCCCCTCTTACTCATAGCACCCCTACACCCCTCCTACTCCCTCCCAACACAACCCACCCCCTTCAACTCCAACTATAC